CTGCTCTTCGAAGTGAGGGACAGAGCCAGTCTCATCCCTGCTTTCCTTCTCAGCCAGGTACTGGGCCACTCTACCCCAGGGGACTCCACCCTTGAGCCCAGGCACCCATGGCACACCAGGAGTGCCTGTAGCTGCAGCAGAGCCCCCACGGTGAGTGCATATTCTGGGAACCTCCTGGGGGGGCCTGGGCCACCTCTGTTTCTTGCATCTAGGAGGAAGGGCTGTGGGCTTCTGCTCCATGATAAAAACGCACTGCCTGGCCTAACTGCCAAGTGCAAGGCAAAGAGGAGTTTCACTTCTGCTGTGTTTTACTTTATTGCCTGAAGATACACTGGGGGCTCCTCCTGCGGATGGGGAGAGCAGGCTCAGCTTACAAACGATCTGCCTGATCTCCCCACTCAATAAAAACATTCCACCTTCATTTCTAAATATTTAGAATGTGAAAAAATATCAAATGAACATCTGCAGGGCCCTTCCCCGGACGGGAAACCTTGGATCTCCTTCCAGAGATTTACGGTCATGCCTCTTTCCCACGTCTCTGCTGTCACACAGGAGAAGTGACCTCTCAGTACAATTTCCTTTTCAACATGTTGGTACTTGGCTTGCAACCTTTTTCACTTGCTCCACAACCCTCCCGCTGGGGCCCGCATGGCGGCCCACCAAAGGGCACCTTCCGTCCGCCTTCCTTTGCCTGTGTCCATTAGCCTTGGCAGGGAGGCAGGACTTGGCCGGAAGGCGGGACTTGAGAAAGGTGGGACTTGGCAGGAAGGCAGGACTTGGCTGGAAGGAGCTTCCATGAAGACACAGCTCACCTTTCCTGACAGCCCTGCAGCTGCAGCGATTTGCCAAAACACTCTATCTACTCACTTTGTTTTCCAGTTGACATCTCGAGGGACATCTTTTGGCGAGTAATGGAAGCAACAAAAGGCCAAAGTGAAGGAGGTGTGGGGGAGCGTGGCCTGGGCACAGAAGCCGGAGATCCTGCCCTCTGCCCCATGTGCCAAGCAGAGCTGCACTCTTCAGGAGGCCTCCTTCACTGACCTCCTGTCAGCTGTCCAGCCTGAGGAAGGAGGGCCATGGGGCAAAGCCAGGAACGCTGTGGGAAAGGACCCTTGAGGAGAGCCACCAGCAAGCTGAATGAAGCCACTGGCCCTTCTCCAGGTGGGGTGTGGGAAACAGGGAGACAAGGGCACACCTGGGCCACTCAAGGGGCAGGGCACCCAAGCAGGCTGCTGCCAAGGTGGGGTGGGTCACAAGACACTGGGGGAACAGGGAGAGCTACCTGGCTGTGCCTAGGAGCACGGACTACTGGCCAGATGGCTTGTGGGGTCAGTGCCTGGCACCGTGGGTCTAAGCAGCCCTCCTTCCTGACACACACGGGGCGAGTGTGCATGAGGGTGAGTGACCACCATGAAGCCTGATCTCCAGAGGAAATACCTAGGCCCCAGGTCACTGTGAGTGCTGCGTGATGGACAGGCTCAAGAGAGGGGGCCCCTCCTCTGACTCCCTATCTCACATCCCAGCCACCCAAACCCTGACCACTCCATTTTGCACAGGGCCTGTCCTTCCTCCTCTATCCCTCCTGCCTCTGCCCCTCTTCCTCTCAGCCCTGTCACTGCCCTCTTTGCTGACCTCCCTGCCACAAGCTTGTCCCCTTCCAGGGCTCCCCAGTCCAGGCCCATATCTCTTTCTTGGATGATTCTGACAGCCTCCTCTTCTGCCCACCCAAGCCCCAGGTCAGCTGGCAGAGCCACCTTCTGAAAACACTGATCCAATCATTCGGATCCCTAAAAATCTTTTTTTTTTTTTGAGACAGAGCCTCAAGCTGTCGCCCTGGGTAGAGTGGCATGGCATCACAGCTCACAGCAACCTCCAACTCCTGGGCTCAAGCGAGTCTCCTGCCTCAGCCTCCCAAGTAGCTGGGACCACAAGCGCCCACCACAATGCCTGGCTATTTTTTGGTTGCAGCCGTCATTGTTGTTTGGTGGGCCCAGGCTGGATTTGAACCCGCCACCTCAGGTGTATGTGGCTGGCGCCTTAGCCACTTGAGCCACAGGCGCTGAGCTGGTCCTACTTCTTAGTGATGAAATCATTTGGGCAAATTATTTAACAGTTGGAACCTCAATTTCCTCACCTGTTAAATGGGAATAATTTGACCTTATTTACAATCTATACAAAGGGCTCAGCCTACACAACCAGGCACGCTCACTCTGTCACTGGTTTGCTCAACTTTCCTGGAACCCTTTGCCTCCCATCCAAGGCAACCGCAGACGTTTTTCCAAGGCTCATCTGGGACACACAGCCAAAGCTGGCAACTCTTATTTCCCCTGCTGCTCAGAAGCTGCACATCATCAACTTAGGCTTGTCTCTCTCACTGCCCCCGCCCCCTCCCCCAATATACTCACTCACACTGGAAACCAGCCCCAGCTTCAGTGCACTGCGAATGAATTATGTGATCGGCCGTTAGAATGATGACAGAGCGTGAATTTCCTCATTAAAGCCCCAAGAGCAAAAGGCAATGCAAACAAGCACCGCAGCCCCGGCCAAGGTGTGCTGAGGACAGCCACTCATCAGCCTGAGTTTGGCTTGGCAGGAGGCGCAGCTCATGGCAAGCCGGAACCAGACTCTGGCCGTGGGCTGACAGCTCTGATTTAAGCTATTAGGAAGACGGAGGATTAAATATTTGTCCAGGTCACTGTACACCGGGTGGAATTATAAACAGCTCGGAGCGGTTAAGTGATGCAGGAAGCAGTCTCCGGATTCAGACTTAGGATTTTCCAGCCACTCCCCAGGTGGCTGGGTTGGGGAGGCAGGCTGTGTGGGGCTAGTCGCCTAGGGGTTCAGCTCCCCCACACTCAGCCAGCAATCCCTAGAAGATAAGAGCCCACCTCCATAGGGAAGGCTGCCCCCAGTCAAGGGGACCTCCAAGATCCCCTCTG